TATATATATAAAAGTGATATTTATTAGATACGTATTAGCCATTTATACAGTTGTCTTGCCTGGTCCACATTTTGAATTTTCATTGAACTTGTTGCAGTGCATTTTGGGATTGTGTTCTTTGTAAAGCATACAGTACATGTTGCCTTCGGATTTGGCCAAAATGAGCATCTTAAAAGACAACACACATTTGTAAACACAATTTGAGTTCAGAGTGCACCTATGATGCCTTACAATGCTGCTTATGTTAGCAGTGTATTAGGCTTGAAAAAACAGCATCTCTTTGTGCACAAAATTGTGCCAATTTAACCTAATAAAAAAATTCAGAATAGTTCATATACAGTTGAGACATGACTTTAGCTAAAGTGAAGTAACACATAGGTGATCAGCATGCAGAGGCCATTCTTCAGTTTGGCTCCTGAGTCTTGGGACAAAATCTTAATTAAACACGCTGTCACGTACGTGTGCGATCAATATTGTCAGAAATGTATGGGTGACGGACAGATTTGTGGTGCAAGACAGACTTCTTATTATGGCAGCTTAAACAGGTCTGTTGTTAGTTTGACTGGCATTAATATTAGAGTGATACGTCCAGTTTAAACCAGCCGTGTCAACTCGGCCTTCAACACTTCAGCTGTATTTGGCGATTCGAGCAGAGCCTGCTCAGCCTCCCCACTGATCTTTCATTACTTCCTTCTGAGAAGCAATTCACAGCAATTACAGGAATCACTGATACAAATACACACTAAAATATCTATTTAAAAATGTAGCAACCTTGTTTGATCAGTCATCTGACTGCCTTTATGATCAAAAGTAACATGTACTTTGGAACAATGTTCTAAAAAAGACTAAGCTCATGAATATTAATTAGTTCACAATTGACGTTGTAAGCTAATCTTCCTAAACCATCCAGTCGACTCTACCTACTCTAATAGCCTTCTAATAGTCAATGACACATACAGTAATCAATGCCAAATCTGCAATCAAATGTCAATAAATAAATAGCCTCACTGTATAATTGCATAATAGGTGAACAAGTAACAGTAATGATCTTTTTCTGCATATCAAATTGACTGAAATAAATAACTTAAATATACCTAGAAATAAATCAATAGCAAAATTTTTGAGCTATGCACACAGATGAATCAGCAGATTTGGGCTGGACTGTGACTGTGCTTAGAGAGCTTAGAGAAAAGTGAATAGAAGATTTTTTTCCAAAATGTTCTGAGGAACTTTTTTTTCATAGTTATCTATGATTCATGCCAACCTGCCAGACAGAACTGGCAGTCTATTCTAATAAAGCTTTAAGCCAGCGAGTGGATTTAGAAATGGAAATGTCTCCAGGGCTCAGCAGAAATGAGCAAATCTATTTAACTGGTCTAAAAAAGACATTGTGAATAAATTTTAAAAGAAACGATAAAGAGCTTGTATGGTTATCTCTGTTTCAGCCTTAGCCAAACAACAACAAAAAAATACCACTTTTATTTACTTAATATAATGACAAATAATCAGACAAAAGTGTTCCAATTTGGATACTTCATACATATGTATGTTTAAGCAAATATCACTGCAAGTACTGTGTAACAACATATCAAAACAATGGCATTTATTCTAAGAAAATGACAGCACAAACAAACTTCAGGCAAAACAGGTTTTAGGCCACATTTCAAAAGAAAAAAGAATAGGAAGTTGCGTATTGAAAATGAAGATAAAAAGTCACTGGAAACTTTCTAGTTATAAAACACTGTTCACATGAGGGGAAATGACTTCATACATCCACTAACAATCATCTTGGGACCATTTAGTAAAAAAAAAAAAAACACTGGCAAAAATGGCTCAGAAAAGTGAAGTTAGCCTGCAAGTAATGACATTTAGGCATTTTTAAATGTGGCTAAAGTGTAGGGTGTAATCAAAACAGACATCATAAAAACTTTGTTAGACAAAGGTGGAGAAAAATCACCTGTTTTTTAATGAAGCTCAGAGAAAGAAAGAAATACTGATGGGCTTACTGGACTGATACACATAGATAGTCACAGGCATTATCTCCACTGTGAAATCAGGCCAATCCTTAATTAATGATCCCCTTCATGTGATTCTCTAGTCACGCTCTCTCTGTCCTATCCATGATCCTCCTCAGCTCAGCACAAATTAAAACACATCTAACTTTAGAAGATGCTGCTATTAGACCAGCAAAAAGCAGTACATCTCTCTCCTCATGGCCACGAGGCCCAGAGCAAAAACAATGCTTCACTGGTGTCACAGGTCTGTATGAATAGGATCATGTTTTATACAGTATATATATTTTGGGGCTTTTCAACATTTTTATGAGTTCAGATAGAGGACAGCAACAGGAAATTATTGTGGAGTGAGCGAGGGAATTGTGAGTTTGTATTGTAACAATGCATTGTTTTTTATATTATTTCATTTAGATCTTTGCAGATGCTGCTCATCCTCTCAGTTATAAGTTGCTAGTGGCCATTTTCTCCAGAGGAGTGTCATGTGGAGGCAAGCAGCCCCATATGCTCCTTGTTTTACAGTTGATCTAACACATGCTAACACTGCAGGCAATTGTTGCTACTGTGCGTAACTTTGGATAATTTTTTTGAAACAATGAAAAAAGAATGGTGAGACATTCCCATCAGCCTTGTAACAACAGCAGCTCACAGAAGGGCGTCTCAGGCCTGCAGCATGTACGTCAGAGGGGAAAAAGAAGGGCATCTCACACAGAATTAGACAGCGTGTAAAACTAAAATCCTCTCTGACTTGGCAGTCTCTAATGTAAATGACATCAAACTGCTCAAAGCACAATCCAGCAGAGAACTGCTCTGGCAATGCAACTATAAAGTTGAACAAACAGGTCTGTTGGTGGATATCTGTTTAGCTTGTATAGCAAAATTATCGACATATTATTTATGCATAGAGTCACTTTTTTAGGGTTACTTTTTATTAACGAATTGTGAAAAATGAACAGAATAAGTACAAACAAGTGACAAATAATGACATACTAAACCCACAGAGTGACAAACCATCACAAATGAAACCCATAACCAACAGAAGGACAAATGAGATCTCTGTATAATTTCAAATCTTCTCCTAGACAGAAATGAAATTAAATGGAATGCAACTGAGAAAATAGATTTTTGCGTAAATCTCCTAAAAAAAAGACTCTTTCTTCAGAGATCGCTTTGTTCGGATTTGCAGAAGATACAAAAGTCTAAAAATTTCAGAACCAAATATGCAATTATCTGACCATTACCCACATAATAATAATTATTTTATTTTATTTAGTTTTTAAACGGCATCATTTGTACTGTATCTATTTTTATTTCTCAAATTTCAGGAGAAACATCTGGCAAAGTTGATACTTAAAGAGATAGTTCACCTAAAAATGAAAATTCTGTCATCATTTACACACCTTCATGTTGGTCCAAACTATTTTGAAGAGTGTTGGTAACCAAACAGTTCAGGTTACGGACAAAAAAAAAAAAAAGACATTCCTCAAAAGTACCTTCCTTTTATGTTTCACAGAGGAAAGTCATAAAAGTTTAGAGCAACATGAGGAAGTGTAAATTATGACAGAAGTGTCATTTTTGGGTGAAGTAGCCATTTAATTAAACATAAACAAAAACCAAGCAATAGAATTGCTTATGGGAATACATGGGATTCACTGAAAGATGCTTCCTTTCCAAAAACTAGGGCTGGACGATATGGCCAAAATTTATATCACGATATATTTCTTAATTTCGGTCGATACGATATAATTCCGATATCGATATGAACACTATTAAAAAAGCCTCATAAAA